ACTCTGCTTCCAACGACTTCTTACTTCATGGTGCTGTCTACCTCTTGACTAACACACAAACGACACCGCCTCGCCCTCCATGTCGCGCTACGGCCCATCGGGGGCTCTTGCGTTTTCCACGCAAGCGCCCACGCCAGACTTCCTGGTATACGCTAAGCCCCATGGGGCCGTAGGTGGGGTGGTGCCGTTTCTTTTCTGGTCCATACTTCTTCCGACCAACGGGTGTGCTGTTCTCCTTTCCGCTGCCTCTGCCCCTCCTCTGAGCGGCGCCTCCCTTCGAGTCCTGCGGCCTCCACGCCGTGCTCCGCTGTCCACGGGCGGGCTCTTCCCAGCGGAGCTCGCACGGCTCTGGCGTTCGCTCGTTCGGTTCCCTCTCGTCTTGAGGAGCATGATAATATTATTAATCCCAGTAGGCAGTAGATGAAGACGAGTAATAGTATCATTCATACTAAGATTACAGGTGCGCGACGCGTTGTTGCGGCGGCGACTCCAGCGCGGGCGTTCAATTGTTTTACCCCTCCTCCTCCTCCTCCTCCTCCTCGGCCAGCATTGAAGTATCGGCGATAGTTGAAGTGCTGAACCCATCCAGGCGGTGTCAGAGAGCCACGCCCACGTCGACGCGACGTGCACCTGCCGTAGAGTGATACCCAGGGCCGCGCCTTCTGGACAAGGCGCCTGTTTGTGCAGAGGCGTTGGACTTGGAGAAGGGTGCGCACATGTCAAAAAGGGATCAGAGGATCAGTGGGCCAGGGGATGTTCTGAGCTGTCCGTTGAGTTCCGCTCACTCGGCGTAGCATGCCTCTTTGTGGTCTTCCGGCGAGGAGAAAGGCCTTCTGATCGTGGCCCACGCCACGCACAAGCTGAAGGAGCAAACCTGCAGGGAACAACTTTGCCGGCCTTTGAATCAGCATGGTTTTGGTTCGTGTGTGTTGTTATTTTTGGGGGATTTAGGTCCCCCCCCGTCGCCGCTGTTGGACGCAGACTGCCAAATTGGGCAGGGTGGATCTTGACTGACCTGGGGAGCGGAGAGCGGATGTAGGCATGCCACAAAGTAAGGACTAGCCACCTTCGCAGCCTTAACAGGCGTTGCACATCTTGCATTCCATCTATCGCGGTCGTGTGTGCATGATTCGTTCTGTAGCGGGGGACTCGTTCCAGTCTGGGTGGAAAGAATGGAGGATGCGACTGATCGCCTGCGGTTCCAGTTTCAACCGCGCAGTACAGTATGTCGCTGAGGTAGAAGCATGTAGCGTCTGACGCCGAGGATTTCTTCTTCTTCTTGATTCAGAGTGAGTACGGTGACCTTTACAAGGTATCCCGATTATAGGATTTGGTATCCCGATGACGCGATTGGGCGAGGCAGTGCAAGTTTGCTGTGCCAGGATCTGTGATGTGCCCACGAAGCAGTCTGGTGTCATGCTTCTGTCGGCTAAGAATTCTGCAGTGAGGGAGTTGCAGGCCTATCTCACGCGTCATGCTTCTGTCGGCTAAGAATTCTGCAGTGAGGGAGTTGCAGGCCTATCTCACGGCACGGGAACAACGTTGACAACGTTTCAGCCACACATTCGATTCGGAGGCGGGTGATTGAAATGAGCACCACGAGGCTGCGCTTTCCAATCACAAGCGCCCTGGTGACGCGCTCCGTGCCGTTGACCGCTCGGCATTTTGGGCTCACTTGGAGCCTTTTTTGACAGGTCCACGCTCGGTGTTTGTTTGTCGTTCTCCAGGGCCCCATACTTTGCCTGAGGTCCGCACCATGGTGCCATGGGTGGTCATGTGTGTGCTCGAGTGAGAACCCAGGTGCAAGTGATATGCTGCGACGCACGTACGTGCACGGTCACGTTGTCGCTCCGTGTGCAGGTATGCTTTTGTAAAGTGCGAATCCCAGACATGTGATATTTGTTCCAATGGCGCTGCCACGCTTACCCACCACCCGCGCTTGGGATGTTTCGAAGTATAGGCGAAAGCCCCTTGGAGTCACAACGGAGGAGCATTGGGAATGTTTTTGGAGCCACTGCTAGATATGGTCAGGTTTCCGTGGGGTCGCTGGGGGGCCATGTGGCGTCCGAAGGTTTCTGGAGAAGGCAAGGGGACTGCTCGGGCAAGCTTTGACGAGTTCCAGGGGTGTGCGAGTGTATGTCGGCGGCCGTGATCAGGGAGCTTTGCAGTGTGGGGCTGTGTTGCCTCGGGGCTGTCTTGGATTTATGTAGCCGCCTGGAGCGGGGAGCTGCCAGCGCAACGAGCGAGCCACGCGCGACCCCCATCGCTAGCACGCCACAGCATGTTTGACAGCGTGGGCCGCAAGCAGTAGGTGCCTGCACTTGCGCAGCATTTCGGGTCGACGTATTACTTGTCAGCGCTGGCTGGCGCGCGATGTGTTTGTGTGTGTGATTTCGCTCTAGCGCCAGCGCAGTGACTCTGCCTAGCCGCCGACGCAATAAGTGTGTGTGTGTGTGTGTGTGTGTGTGTGTGTTCAGCAGTTTTCGGTATACGCTCCCATCATGCGACACAATGGCCAACAGCCAATACCTTTTCCATTCCTCGCAGCGAGTGCGCGTGCGCAGAAAGCCAGCAACGTTCTGCTGAGCAAGCCGATGTGTTCATGGCAGCACCACTGGGTTCGACTGATTCTGACATGCGCACGTGGGGGCGCGCGCAAGTGGACCGCGTATTCATACGGATTCTGATAATTCGCACTTGCTAGAATAACGCGTGCATGATATTATTCGACAGGGGTGTCGGTGGGGGACACGATACTGGCCTGGCTGGCGTGATATGGTTTAACATTTGACATGAAGGATCGTGCTTATGCAAAAGAAGCAATGCGCGCAGCCTTGATGGGGGGTCTGGAGTCTAGTTCTTGACGTTCGTGCGGGTGCAACGTCGCCACGCGCGGCTCGTTTGCTCGTTTCCCTCAATTTGTCCTGCATGTGCACTAATTATCTGGCTCTGTGCCCCAGCTTGCCTGATTAACACGCCCTCTGGAGTTTTCCTTGCGGGCCGCAGAACAAAAAAAAATATCCCCACCAGCTCACCATCAGCAAGTTGCGTTGCATCACGGTTCGCGACAGCTCAGCCCCCCTTGCTAGCTCACGTCGTCAATGGCGTTTGGAGCCTGGCGCCCCACCGGCGACTCGCTCTACAGGCCTCGCGCTTGCCCCCACTCAGAACGACGGACTCGGTTACTCTGGTTCACGTCTTGATACTGTGTGGGTCGTGCCAACGGCAGGCGCCGAATTCCTCGACATATTGTCTTGTGCACGTGCTCGAGCTCCCAGGATGCCCCCCGCCATCAGCTCCCCTTTCAGCTTCGCGGCTGCTTTGTGAGTGGGCCGGCCCGCTTGTGCCTTCTGTAGCTAATTAGGCTTGCCAGTTTGCCCGGACTCCCTGCCCGCCGCCTGCCTCTTCGCTGGCGGCTGCGACCGAAAAAACGTATCCCCACCAGCGGCTCAGCAACTTTGTGAGCTGGCCCGGCCGGCTGTTTCGCGCCTTGCAGCAAATTAGGACTGTTTCCGCGCCCCGGACAGCTTCTGACTCCGCTTGCGCTTTCGCTAGCGGACGCGACCGAATAACATATCCCCACCAGCCGTGGTGCCGATGGTCGCCTGTCGCCACTTCCGGTGTGCTGACTACGGGCTCGTGACCCTCCTCAGGGCTCTTGGTGTGCGACTATCCTGGCGCCGCTTCATGCACTTGTTCGTGGTGACCCGCGCCATTTTTGGCCGCGCGGCAGCTTGGCTGCTTCTCGTACTCGTGCGTTCTGCTGCCGTGGGCTTTGCGGCTTCGGCCACCCTGGGTTCTCACAGCCTGCCAACGCTCACGCCCATACCGGCATCAATTCGACCTCAGACTGTCGGTCCTCCTGGCTGCGGCCACCCTGGTACTCTCGCAGTTGTCCGGGGTCTCGCGCCCTTGCATTAATTACTCAGCTTCTGTCCTTGGTCGTCGTTCTTCCCGACTACCTGACGCTTCCGACGCCGTGCACACTTGCACGCTGGCAGTGCGACTCAGTTTCAGCCTGCCCCCTCCACTCGCCGGTCCGCCGCTGAGGTGATGCGTGAGGCTCCGCCTAGCCGCTTTAGGTGAGGCTGCGCCCCGTTGCTTTAGGTGAGTTTGTCGCTGCGTGCCCCGCTTTGAGTGGACTCGCCGCGGGCGGCGGGCGCGTTCGCCCGCGGCCGCTGCCTAAAAAGTATCCCCGCCAGCCCCCACCGCTTTAGGTTAATTCGTCTTTGCGCGGCCCGTTCTGTCGGACTCGCCGCTGGCGCTCTCGCTTGCGGCCGCTGACTAAAAGTATTCCCGCCAGCCTGTCCGCAGACGGCCCAATCAGGCCGCCGACCGCATCGCCGCCATTGGGGTATACTGGGCTGCTGCCTTCGGAGGGGAGGCAGCACTCGCCTCACCTCCCACGCCGTCTGGCTCAACCTCCCTTCCCGCCCCCCCCCCCCTTTTCCCCGCCTCCGAACAGCTGGAGCGCGCTTGCCAAGGACGCCCCGAGGCGCGCGACCCGGGACGTTAAGGTGTTGAGTCCCCCACCTGGCTCGGCGCTATGGGCGGCAAGAACCACAGCGGGTCGCTGGCCCGCTGGCCTAGTTGCTACAGGTGCGAGCCCGATCCTTCCCTGGCCCCGGGATCCATCGAAGTTCGCCTCTTCGTGGCACGTCTTTGCCCCTGGCTGCGGTGGGTCTACTTCAATGGTCACTGGTGCTTCTACTGTGAGCCCTGTCAGAGGGAAGTTTACGGAATATATCAGTTCTACAGCGGACCCTACTTCATGGAGTTTGGACGGACGTGGGATCTTGGATGGCCCGACCCCCGAACGTACATTTCCAATGGCAATTTGTGGACCCGCCTGCAGGGAAAAACTTGGATAGGGTCACGGGGCAGACGGTGGGGAGCTTCCGCTGGAAAAATTGTCACCTTACGGAGATCGTCATGGTTGGACGAGCTAGGCAGCTTTTGAATATCAAATTCCCCGGCGATTGGGACCATATTCCCAACGGTTACCCACTACCCGATATGCCGCATGACTACGTGTGCCCCCCTGGCACCATGGCCGACCCCAGCACTACCCGGGGTCCCCCCATGGCCCTCCCATGGCGCAGTAACGCAGGCCCGACCCCGTTCGGAGATGCCTTCGCTCTGGCCAACGACCCCGGCCCCGCCCGGTGGCCCCCGGCCGACCCCTTACGTCGACCCCCTGGGGCGCCTGCCCCCCGCCTGTCGGGCGCCCCCGTCGCCCCACCCAACACGAGCACGGGGCTCGCCTCCACCGCGCCACGTGGGACAGCGAGGACCCACAGCCGTCTCTTTTCACAGTCCAAAGCCCCTGACCAAGACGTGGGCCCAGGCACGGGCGCCGCCCGGCTCCCCCCAGCTAGCGGCCGCAATGGAGATCCAGCGGTTGTACGAGCGCCCCGCGTCGCACCGTGCGGCGAAGATGCTAGTCAGGGTCCCCATATGCCACGTCCCAGGTGCCGTCCAATCTCCTTCCGAGTGGCCCCGTGCCTTTAATGACCACGGCTCACGCCTTCAACGTATCATGTGGACCGAGAGCAGAGCCCAACTTGAGCCGTGCGATGACGGGACCGAGCGGGCGCGCAACGAGCTCCGCCGAAAAAAAAAAACAGTCGCTGTAGGCGTGTCGATCACAGAGTTGGAAAAGATACGCGCCAGGGTGATTCCGAGAAGATCAAGCCCTGCGACAAAAGGGCGTATTTCCGTCTCGACTGGGGCCGCTGCTCGGAGAAACTTTTCATCCCCGTCAAGGGCCCTTCTTCCGACGAGATCGCCGTGACTGACGTGGTCTGACCTGGGCTCCAGGAGCTCGGAAACACACTCTCCGAGGCAGAGTGCAGGCGTCTCCGGCTCATCAAGGGCGTCAGGTACCCCCTTCAAAACCTGCTTCGTCAGGTGCAACCGCGAAAAGTTCGGCCCCTTCCACCCGAACCGATCTACAGAGTGGACAAGGCTCCGTCCGAGCTACAGTACTGGAAGCTTCACGAAACCGTTGAAGAGATGTACATGAAGTGGTACGACCCGCAGCATCTCTGCGGCTCCCCCATCCCCGTCCCCATGTTTTCCCTGGGATTCAGGAGCGCCAGTGTCGCTGGCAGTCAGATGGCCGACAAGGTGCAGCTCGGCCGCGACATTGGCGCAGTTCTCCGCCGCCGCGCTGCGTCCACTCTTGTCGCGGCCGTCCACGATGCCGACGTCTTCGACTCCGCCCGCCCCAGCGCGGGGGGATTCCCTGCAATCGGCACGAACGACGTCGACGAGAGCGTTGGGCAGGTCTTTCAGTGGCCCAGGTTAGCCCCGACTGGTCCCCAACTCAGCTGCACTGCCGCGGCCCTCCTTCAACAACCTCTCCGAGCAGGTCTTCCACTCGTGCAGCGACCGCTGCGTCGCCCTGGTGCACGGCCCCGCTGGCTCCGGGAAAACAAGCACCATTGCTGCCCTGGTCGCAGCGTGGGCCCCCGCCCCGCGCACCGGCCATGCCGTTGGTGTCTTTTCCGGCTCCGACGCGCCGCAGCGGATCAACCCTTCATAGCCTTCGCCACGGCCAAGGACAAGGGTCTTCTAGTGGGCGACGCTCGCTTCCCCCGCGGCCTCGTGCGCCTCGCCCGGCGGGGGGGGGGTCGACCGCGAAGTGGTCCACCTCGCGCCAGAAGGGCACGAATTACCACCGCGCTGACAACACCTACCTCCCCGAGCATGGCGACAGCACGGCGCGACAACTTCGAGAAGGACCTCGTGCAGCGAGCAGGGGCAATCTTCGAGACGCGCGAAGGGGCCGCCGATCTCAACGGCGAGGCATCGCTTTGCACCCCGCTGGGGATCATCGACGATGCCGGGCAAGCAAGCGAGGTAACCGCAATCGTGCCCATGGTGCGCGTTGTTCGCAGCGGGGGCCACCTCGTGGTAGTCGGCGACCCCCGGCAACTCTCCCCCACCGTCCTGTTCAAGAGGGCTGCCGACATGGGCCTCTCCCTGACCTTCTTCGACCGTCTACATGACTCGCTCGGGTATCAACTGGGGGATCAAGGAAGCGCATGCGTCACCCTGGTCCTTATCTACCGCATGCGCCCGTTCCTCATGTTCTTCTCTTCCAAGGCGTACTGCAACCGTGAACTCCTCGGCGGGCGCGCCAACCCCCTCGCAGACCGCCCCCTGGCGCCGCGCCTAACCTGGCCCGAAGTGACTGACCTCGACCCTGGGCGGTGTGAATCCCTGTCTGGACTGCTCGGGATCTGCGTCGAAGGCCCGAGAGAGGACTGCGACGGGCCCCGCCCCCGCGTGCTGAGCGCGGACTCGGAAGGCGCCCGCCGCACTGTACTGGTGGACAATAGGTCCTACGAGCTGACCTCCCCCCCCGCCGAGGGGTGCGCCAACGTCCCTGAGGCCGCAATCACCGTTGATCTCGCTCGGGCGGTGCTACCAGAGCTGGGCGAGGGCCTCTCCGTCAAGGTCATTGTCCCATGCAGGCTGCAGAAGGGAATTCTCGAGGACGGATGGCTGCTCACCCCCCGGGTCCTGCAAGTTGCGATGAAGGGCGACAAGTGCTCCGACGTTCCCGACCCCGACCCCCGCCCACCCCGTAACCCCTTCCCCCCGCGGCGTGCCGCCTCACCGGGAGCTTCCGGCCGCCGCCGTCGCGACGGCACCGACGCCCCCCCCCTGCCGCCACCCAGCAGCGGAGCCGCCCCCCCGCTGCCTGGGCCCAGACATCCACGTGCGCCGACGCGGTGCCCAACCCCCCGGGCCCTGTCCTCTTCGCTGCGCGGTCCAACTCCAACCGCGCATGTGGCTTCGTGGACAACCCGAACAGCGTCAACGTCGGGCTTGCGCGCGCCAGGCGAGGTATTGTGGTCATCGCAGACGGCCGCATGGTGCCCTCTGTGGCCGACTCCAAGCTGCGTTTGCTCTCCATTTGCCGTCGCCTCGCAGGCCTCTGGGTTCGTTTTCGCAACCTCCCCGGCCACGGCCCCGGCAATCGCGGCGAGCTGCTTGCCGACGCCGCACTCGACCCCATCCGCGACCTCGCTTCCTGGGTGCCAGTGGGTCCTGGCCCCCTCGCCGCCAGCGAGGCGCACGACGACAGAACTAGGGCCAGCCAGGAGGTGGCCAGGAGAAGGGACGAACGCGCCAAGAGCCTCAACTTTCAGTGCGACCCCCCCCCGGAGGTCGACCAGCGCTGGGGGGGGGGCCTCGGGCTCCGGATTCAAGCGGCGCTCGAGGATCTCCTCGCCGACACCGCCTTCTCCATCGCCTTCTTCCTGGTGGCAGGGCTGCGCCCCCGCGAGTGCAACGTCGAGGGCGCCCCCTCCGGCGCTGCGCAGTTCGACAGGAAAGCCTGGGGCCATTTGGGGTGCTTCTTGACGTGGGGCTAGGGCTGGGCGCAGGCAATCGGGTTTTCAACGTGGCCTGGGCCGCCCTGGTCTGGTCCGTCGGCCTAGGCACTTCCTGAGACAAACCCATGTGCGGGATTTCTCGCAAGGAGCGGCCCCCGAGACCGCAGGTCCAAGGCCGCGCTGCGTGGCGACACCATAACGAGAACCGCTGCGCCCCCCCCCGACCCCCCGTGCATGGTCCCAAGAGACCAGGGCCTTCCCGCGCCACCTTCTTTGCCCTGACTATGAAACGCTCGTCGGCCTCCTACCAGATCTCGATGGAACCGCGCAGCACCGCGTCGAGTTGTGTGACCCCGACGACCGCGTGATGTTCACCGGGGGGGCCCGGTTTGCCCTGATCATCATGCTGCTCACGAGGCGCGAAACCCAGGCCCACTTCTGGCCCTTCCCCGACCCTTCCGGGTCAGGGGGCGCGCTTGAAGCCATCCTGGGTGTCTGCTGCCTTTGGCAGAACGACCGCCGCCAATTCCGCTCTCAGTTCGCGGCTTCCTGGTGGCTCGAGCTCTCTGACCTCCGTCAACTTCGCGGGCGACTGGAGAGGCTGATCGGTTTGGAGGGCAAGCTTGTGACTACTGCCCGCCATCGCCCCGCCGCCCAGGCCGCCCATTGCCCCGCCGCCTACGCTGAGTTGGAAAGCTTTCTCTGTGATCTGAAAGCCCTTCTGCTGGTCCTGGGGGAGATCGTGAAGCTGGCCAACATTGGCATCTTCTCACGGTCGGGATACAGTATCTGTCTCCTTCACCGGGACCTCGGGCAACGGCGGCGGCCTGGGGCCCGACGCCGGCCTCTCAGAGATGTCCCTCCTCAGCGGAGGATTCTCGTTCGGGCTTGCCCCCCGGGACAGAGCGCTGCCGCCCGCCGCTCTCCCCGGCGTGGCCAAGGCCCCCTGCTACCTGGCCCCTGGCGACACTCGCCTCAGCGCAGACCAGAAGTCGGCCAGGTACAAGTGTGACTACAGCTACAAGGTCGGCCTCGAGCACAACGACGGCGCCCGGCTTGGCGACAATATCCGTTCGTATCTTGTACAGAACCGCCCGCGGGCGCACGCCAACGGGTTGGGCTGCGCTTGGCTGTGCGCTCAGTGCTGGACACGCGTGGTCGAGAAGTGAGGTCACCAGCTGTTCCTGGGCCACTCTCTCAACGAGAAGGTTCAGTCCGTTGTGCTCGCCAGGGGCCCCTCCAGGCCCCGGCGACCCCGGGTGACCTGGGCTTTTTCCTTTTGGGGCCCTCAGGCTTCCATGCCCCGGAGAATGCCAGCGCCGCCTTGCCGCCCGCGCGGCTAGAGGGCGACGGGTTCGGGTATGCGGCAGCAGAATCCCGACGGGTGCCCACCTGGTGCCCCCCGCTCTCCCGGCAGGCAGGCGCGCCTGTGCTCGGCTGTTTTTGAATGGAAGGCTGACGCAGTCGCGGCAAACAGGCGCGGGTGGCCTCCCGGCGTGGGGGGGCCGTGCCGTCGCCTGGGCCAACCGCAGCAGGAGCGCCGCATGGATGTGCCGCCAATGCCTCGTTCACGCATGGGGCGCCAAGCCCAGCGCAGTCAACGGGTTGCTGGACCGGGGCGCCCACCTGGTCTACCCTCGCCCGCGGCCTCCAAGCCGCGCTCTGCTCCGCCAGTCCCCGACGAGCCGTCGCTATCCAGCGAGCCCGCCAATCGCGCCTCCGCTACCAAGCATGTCCTGTTCGGAAAGAACGGAGGTGCTCCTGGCTTGGTCACCCCGGACCAATGCGGACGCCCCCCCGCAACGCGCGGGGCCGAGCAAGTGCGCGACCTCCTACCTGATGTGGGCCCCCCCAGAGGGCCAGCATTGAAACGCATCGACATCGACCACCTGGAGGCCGCCGAGGAGTCGGAACGGAACCGTCTGAACGCTAGGCCCACTGAGGTCAGGCTGATCGGTTTCCCACGCGACCTGGACCCAGCTTTGGGCGACCAATGGGGGGAGTATGCCGCAGAGCATGGCAGGAACGTGGTAGGCTCCGAGGCCCCCGAAGACTGGGACCCACCCCATACCGCGCCCCTTTCTGAAGAGGGTCTACGGCCACTTGGTGGCGCCAACCTACCTCCCCAGCGACTTCCACTGGCAAGGCAAGCAGCTAGCCGCCGCCCGCGTGGTCGCGCACTTCTGCTCTCACTCGACCGACCCTTCCATGCTTCCCAAATGGCCCCAGCACTCTGGTCAGTGGCCCACGCGTGGTCCCTCCCCCCCTGCGCCGCGCCCTGGAAGCCCTTGTTGGTATCCTGGCGCAGGTCAGTTCAGATGAACTCGCCTCCGGGTCATTCAAAGAACTGGCCAAGGACGTTCCCTTCGGGGTCGCGCAGGACCTGTGCAGACAGACTGGCACCGCTCCTATCAGGGAGTGCAGCGACAACGAATGGTGGGCTCGGTTCGGCCACCAGCACTCCTAGGCGGCAGACCCACCGGCATAGTCCCACACCGTTGCCCCCGCGCACCCGGGGTTCCCGACTGGGGCGACGGGGTGGTGCCCCCCCCCGCGACGTCAGCACGGAGCGGCAATAGCCCCCCCTACAACCGTGGGGCCAGCTCTCGCTCCCCTGACGATGCCCACCCGCGGCTTGCGAGCCCCGCCGCTGACGCATCACCCCGCCAAGTGGTCAACTCGGGTAGCCTCCCTCCCACGGCGATGCCGCCGGCCGCGGGGACGTGGGCTCGGAAACCTTTGCGGATGGCTCCCCCGACGGCAAACCCTCTTCGCGCCGGGGCGCCAAGGGGCACCCGTGGCCTGTCTCCGACCCCGAGCTCGGAGACCCCGGTCGTGCAGATTCACTCCTCCGGCAGGCCTGAGGCTGCTGACAAGTCCTGCAGCCCCACATCGCCCGTCGATGGTCCACGCGCCTCCCTTGTGCTCGCTGGGCAAGACGACAGGGGCCTCGCGCGTCCCCCAGAGCAAGGGGCCCCGCTTTCCCCCAGCATCCCCCGGCAAGCCCGGGCTGCCAATGTTACGCGGGATGAGTTTGACTGGGGCCAAGGATGGCGCGAGCGCCGCCCGCGTCGGCATCGCGAGACCAGCCGCAGCAGCCCCTGCGGCGGCCATTGGACAGACTGGGCAGGGTGGTCCAGCTGGGAGGCCGACGAACGCTGGAGTCGGCCCGCGCGCACGCACCCCCCCCTCATTCCCGACGACCTCCCCGCCGCCCGGTCAGGCCCGTGGCCGTCCTTCAGGAGTGCACAACCCGATTACTCGCAAGACCTATAGGACCTGGACGCAGGACTCTACATCTACAACGCCCCTCTGGAGCGAGTCGACATCCTGTGCCCCGTTGGCGAGGCTCCTGCCGAGACCGTGAAGCGACTTCAGAGAGACCCGGGTGATTATTTCAACGGAGTATGGCACCAATGGGCGACCACAAATCCCCCGCCATCGGGCCGCATTTGCGCTGACCCTACGCGCCAGCACCCCGATTCCTGCGTGCGCTTCTTCACATACTGTCTCAGTCACAAGTGCGATGTCTTCAAGATGGACGCAGCGCTCCGTCTGGGGGTCAACTAGGGTGCAGCCCGCGCTCGGTTCAACGACAGAGCTAGGACCGCGGGCACCCCTGGCCCCTGGCAAGGCCAGAGGCAAGGGGCCCCGCGAAGACAGTGACACCCGTTGGACAAGGACGGTGGGGCCCAGAAGGGCAGTGGGCTCGCGCCAGCCGTGGGCGCACTCCTAAGTCCTGCCCAGGCCGCACAGACAGGCGCACGCAACGGCACTCGCGGACGCCCCACGCTGTGCATCAGTGTGCCTCTCGGAGCCCAGCCCCTCCTGGATAACGGGGCTGGTCGGCTCCTCCTGCGCGCCCTCCCGCGTGCGATTATGCCGCCTTGGACGTGCCTGGCTGGGGCCTTAGGCCCGCTGGCCCGTCCTAGGCCTTAGAGTACCCTCCGGGACGCCACTTGGCGGCCTCTCTTTTCCCCGTGGATGATTGCTGCCCCCCCGGCGCGCCGTAGGCGGCTCGGGGATCGCCCCCCCCCCCCCCCTTTTCCCCCCCCCCGCGCGGGGCCCCGTCGCTGCTGGGGCCCCTGCGGCACCCTTTGCTGCCCCGCACGCTGGTGCCTGGCCTTCACTGGCCATCGGGTATGACAGCCCGCGCCCTTCAGATCGCACTGACAGCCCGCGGCTTCTCAGTCTGTTCGCACTGACTGCGGCTGTTGG